CAGGCATGCTTTGTTTTCCTGAGAACATAGTATAAACAGTCTGGCTCATAGTTACCTCATAGTGATCTAGTCATCCTGTCCTTGCTTATTTATCAAATGTCTGTTTGTAGAAACAGTATTTTTGAAGTTGTGTATTAAACTGAATTGATAGAATATCCTTTGTGCTTAATTGGATAGGGTGTATTACAACTGTACTCTAAAAGTAAAGGAGGAAATGGCAAGGTTTGTGTCTTAAAATTCCTTATCCTTTTCTTGTACTGATTTTATTAACTAACAATAGTTGAATACTTTTTTACATAGCTGATATATATCTTGACTCATTGAGCTTTGGTCTGCAAGATATATTACTTTTATCTTTTGTCATGTAGACACTTGAGAAAGTTACATTAGCCGGAGGCATGGTTCAAGTGGTAATTTTCCAGTTGTGAGCAAGAAAGCCAAGCAAAAGACCCTACGCATAAGATAAATGCTAGTGTGTACAAACACACACACACACACACACACACACACACACACACACAGAGCAATCTTCAGAGCATCCTTTTTTATTACCTACTATATAAGAAATATAAAGTTAATTTCAGTTATTTATACCCTTCCTCCTACATTGCATCTAAATTCTTTAGTGATTCCCTGTTCGTGCATATTTTATCTTCATTATCAACACTGCAATTCAATCATAGATTATTGGTTCATAAAGGTCTCAACTTCTACTTCATATCTTGACAGTTGTCTGGAATCTTTGTCATAGAGAAGACCTATGTGTTCACAACCTCAGTCCATGGTGACCATTGCTAAGTTGTCACAGATGTGGCTATGTTCATGCACTTGTAGGTACCTTTTATGATGTGGGTCTCTTAATACTTTTCTGAACTCTGTCAAAGAATTATGCACCATTCCATAGGTGATGGTCCCTCAATACTTTACTACTGATACTTTTGCTACAGTTTCAGAGTATCATTTCTAATAATTGAGTAGCAGAGAGCTTGCAAAATCTGCTTTCACCATACTTTTGTTTTGAAGTTTTTTTTCTTATTCTAGGTTTCAAATTTTCAATTTCCTTGTGACCTTGTGGTGTTTTTCCTGAGGCAGTAAACAGAATGTTTTTCCTACTTCCATTGAAGTGATGTTAGAATTAAATAAAAAAAAGGAGAAAAGGAAGGTTTTTATTTCATGTTAAGTCCTTTTTCCCACAAATTTATGTTCTTATACTGTCCGTCTTCTAATGGTTTTAGAAACATCCTTAATTAGAAAACAAGTGAATAGAAGTCAGGAAAGCCTTTCATTTAATCTCTATTTAGAAGTTCCTAGATGTATATTTGGAATATTTACTACTTCCTTTGAAAAGCAGATGAGGATAGACAAGATCCTTCTTCATACTGTTTCATTTCCTCCCACTTTTCACTGTGGGAAATTCCTAACATATACAAACCTAGGTAACAATAGTGCAGTAAACCTGCTGGCACCTATCAGTTCCTCTCAACAGTGATTGACCCTTGGCTAGTCTTGTCCACCTATAATGCTTCTCTCCACCTCCATCTCTGCCTAGCCAGACATCATATTACTTCAGTTCTGATGGCAGATCAATAATGTGTCCTACTATTTTGTCTCTATTACTTCGTCTAGAATGTGAAACTTCAGTCTTTCACTTAATACTTACTGTATGTTTATTCTGTAACAGATGATTCATCCAGATTCAGTAGGCATAGGACATAACATAGATTTGGAAATGTCCTAATTTGGTTGTATTTACTTGCAGAAAGGTGGTTTTTCACTTAAAGCTTTTCAATGTACAATGTTGTACTATCTTAACTTCATTTTACCCCCTTTTATACATATACCAAAAATCTCTTTCACCCTGTTCCTTCTCTGCTTGCCACCTTCCATTCAATACTGTATCTCACTGTACCCAGCCACAGCTGCCTGCCAGCACTTAATAAAATACTCACTTCTTGAAGACCTTCATCTATTTCTAAAATATATTGTATCTTCTAGTTATTTTGCGTATTCAGCTTTTTGCCTAGTTATTTAGATAATATGGATTTGATAGGGGCATGTTGGTAGGTCATTACCTATATTAAGAATATAATATCTATGAGTACTGGTGACTTTCTCTTGTAATCTAGCTACTCAGGAGGCTGAGATCTGAGGATCATGGTTTGAAGCCAGCCCTAGTAGAAAAATACCCTTGAGACTCTTATCTCCAATTAACTTCTCAAAAAACTGGTGGTAGTACTGTGGCTCAAGTGGTAGAGTGCCAGGCTGGAGCACAAAGAAGCTCAAGGACAGCTCCCAGGCCCTGAGTTCAAACCTCACAACTGACCTAAAAATAATGAGTGTGATATCAAACATGTTATAAAGGTAATAAATGATTTGATATATCAGAATTATTTACAAATGAATGCTTAAGTAATAATTGGTAATTATTATGATATTCTATATTCTATTTTTAATAATATGCATTATCACAAAAAGTTATATATAAGCTTTTTTGGTCTTTTTTTGTGTACCAAATACCAACATGATTTTCTATTACTGAGCTACGTTTTTGAATAAAATACACTATTGACGTACATATAAGATTTGTGGCAGCAAAAATTTTTTGCTGCCACAAATCTTTTTTTGTTTGTTTTTTGGTGGGTCTCGTCATAGGGCTTGAACTCTGGGCCTGGGCGCTGTCCCTCAGCTCTTCAGCTCAAGGCTAGCACTCTACCACTTGAGCTACAGCGCCACTTCTGGCTTTTTTCTTTTTGCTTATGTGGTGCTGAGGAATCGAACCTAGGGCCTCAGGCATGCAAGACAAGCGCTCTACCACTGAGCCACCTTCCTAGCCCTGCTACAAATCTTATATGTATGTCAATAGTGTATTTGTGTCTGTTCAGTAATTGAATTAGTTCCCATTTCTCTTCTTGCAGCAAGTTAAAGTAATCTTTTTGTGAGCTTGTGTCTTAAAATCTTGCCCTGGGTTATACTTGGTCAGCTTCATTTGTATCTGTATCACAAAGATTTAATTCTAAGTACCTTGTTCTGGCAAGAGGGGATTAGATTGGTGGCATTTTCTCCTTTACTATTCATGGAAATGTATAGTTCTTTCTGAGAATATGTATTAAGAAATTTTAAAATGCTTATGTCCTCTGATTTCATTTTAGGAACATAGCCTCCAGAAATAGGGTGTAGATATATATGCAAATGTTGAAATGATAGTATTGTTTTCTTATTCTATTCTGTTTATCCACATTTCTCTAACTCTAATACTCACCTCCTCCTTTCCCTCCTATTTCTCTTTTCTGCACCAAAGCCTTTATTTTTTTCTGGTTCCCCATTATTTCAGTCCTTGATTTATCTCAGTATAAAAACTGATACAAGCTGGGGGCCAGCTTGTATAGATAGAAAATTAGATGGAGTGTTCTCCCCAATAGAAGCTAAATTTTGGTGTTATAGTGTTTGATTTATTATAAAAAATAAATATTTCTTTTTTTTTTGTCAGTCGTGGGGCTTGAACTCTGGGCCTGGGCGCTGTCCCTCAGCTCTTCAGCTCAAGGCGATCGCTCTACCACTTGAGCTACAGCGCCACTTCCGGTTTTCTGGTGGTTTATTGGAGATAGGAGTCTCACGGTCTCTCCTGCCTGGGCTGGCTTTGAACCGAGATCCTCAGATCTCAGCCTCCTGAGTAGCTAGGATTACAGGCGTGAGCCACCAGCGCCCGGCTAAAAATAAATATTTCTTAAATGATTTTATTGTCTTCACCTAGCAAAAGATTCTTTGTGTGAGAAAGTATACTTTGATTATGTTATGGTACTTAAGAATCAAGGGAAACTGTTGAATTATCCAAGTAAATGACTTTTGGATGAATGTTTTTTTTTTCCCCTCAAGTAAAACTTTTTCCATTCAGTCAATCTGTATTTTTTGTATGTGGAGTTTACGTGAAATTTATTGGGTAAGCTCTTCTATAGAATCTCATTATGGGCTGGGGCTTGGTGGCATAGTCCTATAATACCAACTTTGTAAGAGGTGGAAACAGGAAGATCCTGGTTTGTGGCCTGCATGGGAAAAAATTAGTGATACTAACTCATAAAATAAGCTGGGCATGATGACTTGTACTTGTAATCCCAGCTAGGTAAAAGGGAAAGATAAAGTCTTATAATTTGATGTCTGTTCCCAGCAAAAGCATGAAAGTATCTGAAAAATAATAAATGAAAGCAACAATGACAGCAACATAAATAAATATAATAAATATAACAGAAATACATAGAATTAAAAAATAATAATTACATAATTTAAGATGCAAATATGAAGACACTTTTATTGATGGCCACAATCTGGTTTAAGTATCTAGTTTGTTAGGGTGAAATAAATTGTAAATAGAATTCAGAGATGCTGCCTATCAAACTCTACTTTGAATTCAAACCCTAGTACTCATTGGAACCCCCCATTGAATAGATTTGTTACTGCTTCTCAATCTTCTTTGGTGTTAACAAAGTAGTTATTTTTTTTTTTATAATGTGATGATATTATTATTAAATTTGTGCTTTTTGTTCTTGGGAAGAAAATCTCATTTTCTTTTTTGCTGGCCTTGAACTTTTGATCCTCCTCTCTCTGCCTTCTGTAGATTTGAATTACTAGCCTGTAATTTAATTTAATGAATATATGAACTCAGGACCTGGGTACTGTCCCTGGAATTCGGTCACTTTTTTTTTAGTATTTTACTATAGATAATAGTCTCACAGCCTTTCCTCACTTGGAACCGTGATCCTCAGATCTCAGTGTTCTAAGTCTCCAGGATTACAGATGTGAGCCATAGGGCCTGGCTTAAAATTAAGTACTCATAATTGGAGATCTTTCCTATTTCTAGGAATTTTAGTCTTGCTTTCTTCAGTAATTTTGTTTATTTTGTGTTTATGTTGTAAATGTCACATTTTGCCTTATAAAGTACCACAGTATTTGTGCTGATTGTGTTCAGATCCATTTAAAGTAGTTTAATGTGTTTTCTTGTCTTACAGTGGCTCCCCCAGGAAGTCCGGGTCCCATTACTCGACATGGGTCCTATGACAGTTTAGCTTCAGACCATAGTGGACAGGAAGATGAAGAGTGGCTCTCCCAGGTAGAACTATGATATAATATTATTAAAGAAAACAGAAATCTCCTTTCATTTTTATTTTTCTCTATTAGAAGAAAACGTGCAATATTGGTGTTCTTTGTTGAATTACAAATCATTATTCACTGTTATTTCTATTTTGAGAATTTCTCACAATTATTGTTGCAGGTATACACATTTTATATAGGTATTTTACATTAATATATGTAAGCTTCATTGAAAATACATATGTGAACATGTGTATAATATTTGCTTTAATATGGAGGATGTTATGTGCTTATTTTTCAAGCAGCACTCATAAAGCCTTGACTTATGGGCAGATTGTGAGACCCAGTTTCATTAGGTTTAAAATGAGAGGGTGTTTTCTTAAACAGCAAATCCACTCAGTAGTGTTTATGATTTGTTTTGTAGAGCTCACATTTTCTGATGCTGGGCTCATACTTTTATTATGAAAGTTTATCAGTGTTCTGGACACAGTTCTGATGGTTCAAAACTACATTTTCTTTCCTGACTGAGGTTGGGCAGTACTGGTTCTAATGTTTCTACACCAGACCTGTAACAGCTTTAAATGACCCCTCTTTACTTTGCCAGATGAAGCTGTCTTCATCTTCTAAGCTTTGAAATAAAAGATACTCAGGCAGATTTCACAATGGACAGATTACAAATGACTTCATTACAAATGCTGTTATATCTCCCTCTAGTCTGACATCATTTGGTGAAGTTAATGACTTGTCTTAGATTACCGATCTGGCAGCTTTTCATCCAACAGGTGCCTCTGAAAATGTGAGATCCTTTGTAGTTTCATCACCCTCTCAGGGAGTATAATCTGAGAAACTACAGTGAATCTGGAAATTAGAGAGTCAGTTTCTACATGACATGTATTTGTTTTATTACATCAAAAATACTCATGGGAAGCTCCTTGAATGAGCCTCTGACATGTGGAGGTTCATCCTGCCTTGATGACACTTAGATAAAGAAAACCGAACATGTATATCCTTTTTCCAAAAAGGATGTCCAAGAATTCTGGCAAAGAAACCACTGCCTTCCACTTCTGCCTTTTGATTAGAACAAGGGGTAATGTGTGCTCTCAGTGTGAAAATATTTACAATATGTTTGTCCTGCACACAACAGGAGAGTGAATATAGGAACATCTGGCCATCGCCTCAGTGAAATTGCACAGGCATCTGTTTACCTCTCGGCTCTGTGACACTGATGGTTTTGAGCTTAAAATACACAGAATGCTTTATCTGTGGCCTAATTTACATTGCTGAATACGACTTGAATCAGAAATCACTGTCCTCAATCTGAGTGCTTTTTTCTCTGTGATTAGTGGGAATGCAATTATTGTTCCAAGACCATGATGGCTTTGTCCTCCCAGACTCACAGAGCTACAGTCTGTGAAACTTTGCAGTTTATTAATTTATTTGTTGTTGTTGCTATTTTTATGAGCTAATCAGCCCAATCAGAAATGTGATTAATTAGAAAGGAATGAAGGCCAACCTATGTCTTTAAAGTGGACATGTATTGAAATAGCAATGAGAAGATTTTAAGAAAGAGTTGCTTTTCACTGAAGATTTGCATGTCATTTGTAAAATCCTGAAATAATGGGCAATTGGGGCTATTTCCAAAATGTTTTCTACATTTGCTTTTCCTTCACAGCATTTAATATAGCGATGATATCTCCTTCCCCTTCCACAGGACAGGAAATTTATAGAGTTTTTGTATCATGTTTGTTTTGTATATATAACCCTATATTGTGTTTTTAACATTTTAGAAAGCAGTCAGATTAAGTAAAAGTGTTTGTTTTGCAGCTCCTGGGGCTTGAACTTTGGGCCTGGGTGCTACCCCTTTGTGCTCAAGGATAGGGCTCTACCACTTGAGCCATAGGTCTACTTGCTGCCTTTTAAATGTAGTATAGTGGAGACCTGAGCCTCACCGACTTTTCTGCCTGTGCTGGCTTCAAAGCTTTATTCTCAGATCTTAGCCTCCTGAGTAGTTAGGATTACATGAGTGAGCCACTTGTGCCCCAGAACTGACCAAAAAAAAAATCTATGAAGAGAAAGTAAGGTCAGTTTGAGGGGATTTTGAAATCAAATTAAATGTAAGGAAACTGTGTGTTAAAATTACTTAAGACCCTTTTTTTCCTTAGATAGTCAAAGAACAATTTCAGGATTTATTTATTTATTTATTTTCCCCAGTTCTAGGGTGTGAATTCAGTGCCTGGGTACTATCCCTGAGCTTCTTTTGCTCTTGAGCCACAGTGCCACTTCTGGCTTTTTCTGCTTATGTGGTACTAAGGAATTGAATCTAGGGCTTCATTCATGCCAGGTAGGCACTGTACCACTATGCCAACTTCCCAGCCCAACTAGAGGATTTTTATAAGTCTGATTCTCAGTGAAGGAATTACTTTCATTCTTTAGATTAATAGCTGTAGTATTCAGTATGTGTCCACAACATGACAAGTACTCTCTAGAACTAATGAAAATGGTAGTCTAGGGAACCTGTGGTAGCAGCATGAGGCAGACAACCAAATCTTTTACTTTAATATAATTTTTGTGTTATATATATGATTTCTACATTGTGTGTACTCTGAATATATGTATACACAATTTTCATTTTAATGTTCATAATAATCAGGAGAGGATTACAGTGAATATCTGTGTAGGCTATGATTGTGATCACATTTTGAGGGTATATGTTCTAACCCTCTCCCATTTCATTAAAACATGCTTCTCCGTCAGGATGATGTGGCTCATGCTTATAATCCTAGTTACTTAGGAGGTGGAGATCGGGAGAATCACATGGTTTGAGGCCTGTCCGGGAAAGTAGTAAGACTCCATCACAACCAGTACCTACTTAGGTGTGATGGTGTTTGCCTGTAATCCCAGGTATGTAGGAAATATACATCGGACATTCAGGCTAATCTGGGCTTAAACACAAGACCCTGTCCCCAAATTAACTAAAATTAATTAACCAGTTTTATGACTCAAGTCATATAGCATCTGACTAGCATAGGCAAGGAGATTGACCTCCAGTACTACCAATGATGGGTATTAAAGGATTCAGAGCTGGGGAATGGCTTGCAAATAAGAGGGTCAGAATACATTTAACATGAGTCCATTTCTTTTCCAGGTTGAAATTGTAACACACACTGGACCCCACAGACGCCTGTGGATGGGCCCACAGTTCCAGTTCAAAACCATCCATCCCTCAGGACAAACCACCGTAATATCATCTAGTTCATCTGTGTTGCAATCTCATGGTCCCAGTGACACTCCACAGCCACTTTTGGATTTTGATACAGATGATCTTGATCTCAACAGTCTCAGGTATGAAATAAAAACTAGAGTTATTTGAATGTCTGAATTTATATTTTCATTTGATCTGAAAATTCTTTGCAATATGCAGAATTCTCCTCCTGGTACAGTATATTTAGCTAACTACATGTATTTTTATGTATGATCCACTGTGGTCACTTAGGGTCTGGGTACATGCAATAAATATTAGTGTTTTAGCTGTTCATGTGTTTCAGCTACAAGTGTTTCAGCTACAGAATCTAGCTACTTGAAGGTGGTGGTCAGGAGGATTGCTGTTAAAGTCTAGCCCAAGCAAAAGTTTGCAAGACACAATCATAGCCCATAGCTGGGCATAGTAGTATATACTTATCATAATATTACATGGAAGGATTGTGCTGTAGGTTAACCTAGGTAAAAACCAAGACCTTATCACAAAATAACCAGAGCAAAAGGACTTGAGGCATGGCTCAGGTGGTAGTGCATCTGCCTAGCAAGCCTAACACCCTGAGTTTCCCATTGATACCAAAAGTAAATTTTTTTTTTTGGATTTGATAACAGTGTTTATTTGAAAACTACATTAAACATCTTCCAGTGTTCAGGGTTTGACATGGAAAGACTGATTTTTTTTCAACTCTACATTAGCTACCAATTTTTGAATTTCTTTTTTTTTTAAATTGTGAAAATACTGTATAGAGGAGTTACAATAAATAACATGGGCAAGATAATGAGTACATTTCTTATCAAGCATTGTAGCCTCCTCCTTTGTTTCCCCTTCCCATCCCTTCCCATCCTCTCCTTGACCCTCGACCCAATCCTCCACCCTACCTCCACCAAAGTTGTAAAGTTCATTTTCGACATAACGACTTATATGTCTCATTGTTGCAAGGGTCCACCTGTATCCCTATTTAAATGATTTTTTTTCCCCTTCCCTTCCACAAATTATGCCAACATCAAATACAGTGAAAACGGGTTATACCGTGGGGGAGGAACATACAAAGCAACAAAGAAATAATCTTATAAATGTGTTAGAAACAATTGCATTAAAGAAAAAAAAACATTTGAATACATATCTTAGGGTTCATTTCCCTAAAATCAACTTATCTGTCCTTTTTTGCCTGACTCAGACATATACTAGTTATTGCAAATAAGGGAAACCATGGGACCTATATTTCTTTGGGCCTGGCTTACTTCACTTACTATAATTTTTTCCAAGTCTTTCCATTTCCTAACAAATGGGGCAATGTCATTCTTTCTGATGGAGGCATAGAATTCTAATGTGTATATATACCACATTTTCTTGATCCATTCATCTACTGAGGGGCATCTGGGTTAGTTCCATATCTTAGCTACAGTAAATAATGCTGCAATAAACATAGTCGTGCTGGTAGCTTTAGTGTGAACCTAACCAAAAATAAATATTTTTTAAATAAAAATAAGACAGATCCTGGTGGCTCACACCTGTAATCCTAGATACTCAGGAAGCCGAGATCTGAAGCTCGTGGTTCGAAGGCCAGCCTAGGCAGGAAAGTCTGTGAGACTCTTATCTCCAATTAACCACCAGGAAACCAGAAGTGGTGCTGTGGCTCAAGTGGTAGAGTGCTCACTTTGAGTTGAAGAGCTCAAGGACAGGGCCCAGGTACAGAGTTCAAACCCCACAACTGACCAAAAATAAAAGAGTTGTGCCTCAAGTGGTAGAGCCCTAGCTATAAGCAAAAAAGCTCAGGGACAGCAACCAGGCCCTGTGTTCAAGCCTCAGGACTGGCCTCAAGTGGTAGAGCCCTACCTATAAGCAAAAAAGCTCAGGGACAGCAACCAGGCCCTGTGTTCAAGCCTCAGGACTGGCATCCCTCAAATAAATAAAAAGAAGTAGCAAATAAATTAGTGTTTCAGAATGTATTCTTTAAATGTAGCACTCAGTATGCTTATAACCCATCTACTTTATGATCTGCTCAGATTTCTAAATGTTTTAAGCATCTAGAGTTAAAGTCTGAATACCTCTACCTTCTGAAGTGGTCACATTCCAATTAAATTTAATGTGTGATTTTCATCTAACCCTTTATCTCCTCCTTTTAGATTGTGGAAAGGTTTTCAATTGGAATGTTAGTATAAATGAGTCTGTGATTGGTCATTTATGTTTTCATAGTTATATATTTTCAGTCTTTAACAGAATCATGGCATAGGTGTATAAAGGGTCTGTTTAGCTTAGGCTAGCTTTGAACTACTCACCCTCTTGTATCCAACCTTCCTGAGTGCTGACATTATATGTATGTGCCACCATATCTGTTATTACTCATTTTAAAATGAAATATATTTTATTATTAATCACTGTCTAATATTTGGCTATATCAAAAGATTTTTTTTTTTATTTATCTGGGTGCCAGTGCCTCCCACCTGCTGTCCTCGCTCAGGAGGCTGAGATCTTAAGGTCATGAATTGAAGCCAGCCTGGGTAGGAAAGGCTGCAAGACCATTATCTCCAATCATCTACCAAAAGTTATAGGAGAACTCTAGTTCAAGTGGTATAGTGCTACCCCTGAGCAAAAGAAGCTCAGGACTATCAACCAGGCCCTGAGTTCAAGTCCCAGTTCAAGCTACAATGTTACTGGCAAATATAATCTTATCTAAACCATCATGATTGCATTTCTGTGTTTTTCCATCTTCTCACCCTGAGCTTTTATTTTTTATTTATTTTTTTTTGGGGGGGTCCGGTCGTGGGGCCTGACCTCTGGGCCTGGGCGCTGTCCCTCAACTCTTCAGCTCAAGGCTCAAGGCTCTACCACTTGAGCCACAGCGCCACTTCTGGATTTTTTCTTTTTGCTTGTGTGGTGCTGAGGAATCGAACCCAGGGCCTCAGGCATGCAAGGCAAGTGCTCTACCACTGAGCCACCTTCCTAGCCCACGCTGAGCTTTTATTATGTCATCTTCTCATTTTGAATGTTAGTTTTCTGTACCATCAATTCATGAATGCTTGTATGTAATGTTATATAACTGTATTTAAACCTTGTGTACAGTGTTTTTTTTGTTGTTTTGTTTTGTTTTGTTTTGTTTTTTTGGTTGGTCTTGGGGCCTGAACTCAGGGCCCGGGCACTGTCCCTCAGCTCTTCAGCACCAGGCTAGTGCCCTACCACTTGAGCAACAGCGCCACTTCTGGCCTTTTCTGCTTATGTGGGGTTGAGGAATTGAACCTAGGGCCTCATGTATGTAAGGCAAGCGGTCTACCACTGAGACACCTTCCTAGCCCCTGTGCAGTGTTTTGTTTCTTCTTATCCTTAAAATAAAGCTGATATGCAGTATACACTCTATCAGATGCCATAAATGCATGTATCTATTACTTTAACAAAGTCTTCCTTTAATTGCTTGAAACATCTGAACTTTTATTAGTAGAGATATGTTTATGGTGATAACATTTATACTATTGCAACTGAATAGCGACCCTTGGAATTTATTTATATGATGGTTATTCTTAAACCACTTGTTTTTATTCAATTGCAGTTTTGCTGAGGTTCTAGTTGATTTTTATATGCTTATTGCTAATTTGGGGGAGGTTAATTAATGATGATCCTAGTCAACCTTGACAGCCAACTCAAGGCTTTGTGATCTTATTCTTCTAATCCTATATAAAGTTCATTGATGATTATATGGGAGTTTCCTAAAATTTGAAGTCATGCTTTACTGTCTTTTACCATCTGATTACTAACTCTGCTTTCATTCAGGAATTTGCAATGTCTTGGAGTTTCCCATGTGTCCCTTGCAAATATCAGAGGTCATATAAAATATTTTGTTTCCGTTCCCATTCTACCCATTTTGTCGCTTTATTTAATGTCAGCTATTCTATTCTTTCAGTTTCTTTAAAAATCTGTTGAACAACGTACAAAAATAAGATAGGAGGGCCTTAGAGTGGAAACAATAGCCTGCTTTACCTTTGTATAGCTCCCTTTTTTGTCTGGTTTTAGAATGAATTGTTCTTTAATGGATTGAGCTATTCTAACCTTATTGATTTAAGGTCTGTTGTAGTAAGTGACAGTTTTCATGCCAGTAACATATGTGAATTAAATTAAATTGCATTGCAGGATCCAGCCAGTTCGCTCTGACCCAGTCAGCATGCCAGGGTCATCCCGTCCAGTCTCTGATCGAAGGGGAGTTTCCACAGTGATTGATGCTGCCTCAGGTAAAAATCTTCTTCCCAAATGTTTACTGGGCCATTCTGTGCATCTTGCATTTTCTTGCACAGTGTAGAGGATAGTATGTATTTGTTTTCCCTTTTGTCTTTTCTTTTTGGGGTTGTCTGTTTTAATACAGCATCATGCCTATGTTTGTTTCTAAACAATGCCATGCATTTGAACATTCTTAAAGTTGGTGAATGATGTGGTAGAGTTGGCACTTGATTAAATGTAATGAACATAGTATTGAGGGCTACAGGGTTGATGACTGTTTTGCCTTTGATCACCGAAATGTAGAGCAGCAACCTTGACAGAGCACGTAAATACAATATATGGATTCAATTTACTCAACCTGTGGAGTATCAAAGTGCCTGATCTGTGGAAGCAGAAAGAGTCTGAATGATATAGTTTGAATAGTTTTATTATTGAAAGTGTAAAGTTTGGAAATTCATTAACTTAACTCTGGTCTGTCAATTACCAATGTCCAATCTTTGGAATTAATCTATGACTCTATCATTAATACTTTGAGGGAGACTTTTGCCTCTGTAGGTGACAGCTGCCACATTAACGTTATAAAATGTTTTCTTCTTTCTAATTGTACTATTTGTAATAATGTCTCATCTCTAAGATGAGTGAAAAAGGAAGCAGGCACAGTGATATGTAACATTAATACTATAGCTGGGGAACATCTGAAGATAGCACACAGCAGGATTTTGTCCAAAAAAGTCCCTCACAAGTAGAATTATTAAATACTTGGCATTAGTCGAACAGTTGAGTCAGGGAGGATTTTAATCTGTGTGATTTCAAAATCCCTGGAGACTGCTGATTTGATTGAGGCTTAAACTGTGAAAGAAAGTGGAAACCATCACAAAACTGATTTGTGATTCTGTCTCTCTGTATTTTTAAATTTAAAGCTAATGGTTTTCTTAGCTTTCTGTCTTTTTGTTCAGTAGATTATATTTTGTCTTGTTGAGCTGTCTACATTCAAGGCTACACCTTAGTTATTAATGTAGACTATTTGTTTAGATGATGCTTCTTGGCAGAAACAAATATAGAAATAGGTGATGTATGTCCTTGCTTCCCTGTATTAAATAGGAAGTTGAGATAAGTCACTTATGTATTTTTGATAGTCTCAATCTGACTGTGCTATAAAAAAGTCTTGCTGGTCTGGAATTATATTTACAATCCTGGGAATACTATATGTTTAACCTGAATTATTTTTCAAGATTATAAAAGTAGACATTACTTGGACTTTTAAAACTTTTCTTAAACTATCCTACTATTAATGCTTTATTACCAAAGTGATTAGCTACCTGGAACTTAAGTTGCCTAAGCGGTTACCACGTGGTTGTAATCTATAATCTGAAGCAGTATTCCTTAGATATTATATAATTTTAGCTCTATGTGAAGTTGTCTCATGAATTAGGAGAAATGGCACACAATAGTTGTATGTATAGTTTTATTTACCTTTGGAAAAAGAACGTTCATGTTGACTTTTAAATACAAATTTAATCTTTGCTCTTAGTTTACTTTCAGTGTCATCAATTATACATCTGAGGAGTTTGTAGGACATTTCTCTATTGCCTCTTCCGGAAACTGCGGCTTTTTTTTGGATAGGGAAAAGATTTATTGGTGGCTAAGCTCTATTATTATTTTTTCTAGGCTTATTTTCCCTCCAGAAACCCATGGTTCATTTCTGACGCAGCCAGGATGATGACTCGTGTGCACTGCTTTCCCTAGATTTGAACTAAAGATGCCCTATAGATGAGGAATTGGACTTTTATGAATACCTCTCCAATGGTCTGGATCCCTTTTGAATAAGGAGTGTGTTGTCTAGCACATTTTTTAGTAAATAATGTTTTGCTTTGAAACCTCCATCTACTTTATCTAATTGGATCACTGTAGTTAACATAATTAATTGTTTTACTGATGTTTAACAAAATTAGGCTAAATGATTGAACTTCTTTGTTAAAAGAAATTCTAATTTAGATTTTTCTATTAAAAAGTATAATAAATTTTTATAATTGCTCCTAAACCAGTAAGTACTTCTCTCATTATGACCCATGCATTAGAATTCAGTACATTTTAGGAAGATGCTTCCCATGGAGACTGGTTGACTAGCTATTGCAGTGTGGTGTCTCCATTGGATTTCATTTTCTTCAGTATTTTATGGGAATGTTTATTGCCTTTTTTCTCTTCTCTTCTCTTCTCTTCTCTTTTCTCTTCTCTTTTTTTTTTTTTTTTTTCTTTTGCCTGTCCTTGGGCTTGAACTTAGGACCTGGGCATTTTCCCTGAACCTTTCTGTGCTCAAGGCTAGAGCTCTACCACTTGAACCACAGTGCTTCTTCTGTCTTTTTCTTAGTAGTTTATTGGAGATAAGGGTCTCACATACTTTTCTACTAGGGCTGGCCTTGAATCACAATCGTCTGATCTCAGCTGTGTGAGTAGCTAGGCTTACAGGCATAAGCCACTGGTGTCCAGCCTTACTTTTTTATGGTTCCTATATTTTATAATTATTCATCATTTTTTGTGACAGCACTTCCTCTGTCTCTCCTAGATGTAGTATACTCTCTTTTTGTATAATCACTTTTTTTAGAAGAATAGAAACAGAATTTAATGTGAAATGCCAGAATTCCTTGAAAATTGTAGCAGTTTTCTTTTTGAAAATATTTCAGTCTTGGATTTACAGTTTATATTTAGATGTCAATGTTTAATATAGCACCATTATGCTCTTGCAACCAAAAGAAATAAGCAGGATGTTCTATTTCAGAGAAATAAAGTTTCTTCTACTTCTGCTAATATCTTTTTACTACAATTTATTTTTCATGTAGTAATCAGTTTCTTTCCTTCTTGTAGAAACTCATTCTCTAAAATACTTATTTTGGGGGCTGGGAAGGTGGCTCAGTGGTAGAGCGCTTGCCTTGCATGCTCGAGGCCCTGGGTTCAATTCCTCAGTACCACATAAGCAAAAAGAAAAAACCTGGAAGTAGTGCTGTGGCTCAAGTGGTAGAGCGCTAGCCTTGAGCTGAAGAGCTGAGGGACAGCGCCCAGGCCCAGAGTTCAGGCCCCACGACTGGACCCAAAAAAAAAATACTTATTTTTGCTTAATAACTTCAGTTATTTGGGAATAAGTACATTCATTGACTTTAAATATTGGTACTAATTTCTTGCTGTCTTTCTATGAATAGGTATCTTGTAGTTGCTTAGTTGCTCTACAAGTGCTTGATACTTGGCTTTTATTCTCACATCGCTTTCATGTACCTTTGGTGATGTTAAAATACTATACTTTGTAAAACCTCGGAGTAGATATTTGTGAGGTAGTCCATTTTTAGATAAGAAAAGGATTATTCTGGAAATAAGAAGGGTCATGAGATTATTCTGGAAATAAGGGTCATGAGACAGAGGCTCAATCTATCCCACATTCAACTAAAACATTATTTAAGACCAAGACTTGGAATAATTTCATAACTATTTTTACTAAAAATTCTTTTTTACATAATTTCAGTGCTTATCCCATATAATATATGCTCTTATTTTAGTAAAAGTCTAAGATTTCTAAAAGAAAGTAAAGATAGGTAGCTGCCAAGGTTTTGAGCTTTGTTTCTCATATTCTTTACTGCTGTGGCTATACTGCTACTTAAGAGAAACTTTGGTGGGGAGTCACCAAATCAAAAACCCTATAAATATATATATATATATATATACATGCCTATATATATATATATATATAACCTATATATATATGTATATATATACATATACATATACAACCCTATATATATATATATATACATATAGTCCTGTGTTCAATCCCTAGCACAGAAGGTAGGAGGTAAGAATATAGATCCTTTGTTTTGTTTGTTTGCCTAGTTGGTTGGTTCGTTGGTTTGTCTGGTTTGTCTTTGACTATGGAGATTGATGTTTACCAACAAGGACAAATGTGCCTAACTTGCATTAAGTAGTATCAGATTTTCAAACTCTAATAATGTAAAACTTTTATAAAGAAAAGTTAAGACTGGGGTCATAGCTTAAATGATATGATGCCTGCCTAGAAAGAACAAGGCCCTGAGGTTCAAGACTCAGTATCACCAAAAAGAAAAGTTATAGAAAGTACAAAGATCAGAATTTATGTATATTCTTATAAAGAATATATATACAGGAGGAAGACTGCTATGATAGGTAAGTAAAATGAATTCTTACCCTTCAGAACAGGCTTTGAGAAAATATACATGGAGACAGTGTGGCAGGTGTGGGTTTTTTCGTTTGTTTTTCTTTACATTAGAAAAATATACTTTTGTTGTACAAATTATGTAACCTTAATTTGCTAAGAAACTAAAAATTACATTAGGAAATTATTTTTAAGCTCCAGTTTTCCTAATATTCCAAAAAGCTAAAGGAGAGTGCCCAAGCCCTGAATTCAAGGAAGAAAAACAAATTGGGGAATGAGAATGCTGTTTAGTGTAGAGACTAGTAAGTGAAATACCCTAGATTTGCTCTCCATCCTGAAAAGAAAGAAAGAAAAGAGAAGAAAAGAAAAGAGAAGGGAAGGAAGGAGGGAGGGAGGGAGGGAGAGAGGGAGAAAAGTAGGGAGGGAGGGAGGCAGGAAGGAAGGAAAGAAAGTTACTATCAGTTTTTGATCCTGTGATTAGTATGCATAAGGTCAGTCACAGTGTCCGAAACTTTTCACCCAAACAAGAGTAAAGCTTACAGAAGTATGACCATGTAAGTGACAAGGAGATTATTTGATTACGTTTTATTCTATTTTACCATCAAATATATGCTTCAGGGACATTCTTAGGAACTTGATTTTATATTACAGAGATTTTTCTGATGCAGATGTGAAAGAGTATTCCTAAGAATTAGGTATTTATTACTGTATCTGCAATTGGTATTTCAGTCTACAGCAGATAGCCTTAGCCATTATATTTTAAACCACCAGAGACACAGAGATCATAGGATGTAGTCTTCCATGGTGAGGCCTTTGTGATCAGAAAACTAGAACTGAGGA